CTGGGCCGCACCCCCTGCCGCACCCACACGCCCTCGGCCCTCTCCGCACCCCAGCACCTTCTAGGCCGCCCGCAGGCTCCTCTAGAGCACTACCTGGCAGTGTCACACCGCCATCTCTGCGTGGGCTGCGTTCACGGGGCCTCGGTTCTCCCAGCCCCAAGTCACTGGTTCTGCTGCACTTCCCTCGGCTCCTCGGCCACAGACCCCTTCCTCCCCGCTCCACCCCTCCTCTCCACTTCCTATCGCCTGACACCCCCAGAATCAGCAGCTGTCCCCCTCCCTCCTGGGTGCACGGCCCCTTGGGGAGGGGGAGACGGCGGGGACCCTGCCAGACACCCTGTGACGGAGGGAGAGGCCAGCGGTGCCCTTCGGGCACAGGGGACTTGGGGTGTCTGGGACAGAGCCAGGCTTCGGTGGGGGCGCTTGCCCAACCCCGCTCACCGCTGCCCTCCAGCCCCTTCGCCCAGGACTTCAGTCAGCCGCCACCTCTGCCCACCACTCCCCGCCTCCCACTCACAGGTCGAAGCGGAGGTTCTGCTTCTCCTCGAAGAAGTAGTCCACGATGAACTTGCGCACGAAGTCGGGGTTCAGCGTGTTGTCGATGACCTCGGTGCGCCCAAACTGCAAGAGAAGGCAGCTGGTGGTGTGGGTCGGGCCAGGGTCCCTGTCCCCAGGTCCCGGGTCCCAGGTGCGAGTCCTCCCCTCCACAGAGGCCACCGCACACGCAGCGCGACCCCTCACGCCCACTCGCTCTTCCCACCCCCGTGCCGCCCTTCCCCGCCTTCGCCCAGCCCGTGCCCTTCAGGGCCTCCCCTCTCGGACAGTCACAGCGCCCCCTTCTCCGGAGGCCACGCTGCAGCACCTCTGAGGACCCGGGGAGCCAGCGCCATCCCGCTGATCTCACCCGAGATGACTGAGGGCCTGCCGGCCCCGAGGCCAGCAAGGCCGCACTGGACACTGACCCCGCTGTTCTGGGCCCTCTGCCCCTCGGCCGTGCATGACCAAAACTGACGCTGGACGTCCCTGGGTCTTGCAGAGGAGCTGGGCGCACAGTTACTCAATACCTGAGTCCCACGAAGCTCCCCGAACGATTCTAGGCAAGCCACCTCCAGCCCTGGACCTGAGTCACCTAGAGGGCTTGCGGAAACACAGAGTGGGGCTCACTCCACAGCTCCTCTTTTGTAGACCCGGGGCGAGGCCCAGGACTCTGCGTTTCACAGAAGTGCTGCTGTGCTGGCGCGTGGCCGGTGCTCACGGAGCACTGAAGAATTAAGGTTGATGAGGGAAGGATGAACTGCATCACAAGCTCTGAGGCCCTGTCCCCCTCAGCAGATGGAGAACACTTATCCTGCTTCCTTCTAGAGCTACCACTCACTCCAGTGCAATCCTTTTCCTTTTCCTTTTTTTTTTTTTTTTTGAGATAGGGTCTCACCGTGTAGCTCAGGCTGGCATTAAACTCACAGCCATCCTCCTGCCTCAGCCTCCCGAGTGCTGGGATTGCAGGTGTGCGCCACCAAGTCAGGCATCGGTGCAGTTCTTCTACAACTGTTTTTAAACCAGGCAGTATGCTCGGTATTGAGCTACACAGACAAACAGAACAAGGCCCCAGCATCTGAAGCGTCCTCCCCATAGGGGGACAGCGCAGAAACAAGTAGCCACAGATGGCTAAGGAGCCCACAGAGCGGCACCCAGTGGTACCAGGCAGGACCTCTTCATTCTGAGGAAAGTGTGAAGATGATGAACTGGACAGGAGAAAAGTAGAATCTGGTCGGGGATTTGGCTCAGCTGTTCCGCCACCTGCCTCAAAAGCATTAGGACCCAAGTTCAATCCCCGTTACAAAGAAAAAAAAAAAAAGTAGAAACTGAGTGCCGTGCTTTAGAGCTGAAGTGTGCTCTTAGAGCTGCATCCTGGGCTCTGCCCTCACCATCTGATGGCATCGTCGGGAGGGAATGGAAGCTCAGGAGATGGGCATACGTGGAGGAGGACATGGACGTGACCTTGGGGACTGCATCTTCTCCCTCGCCCTTCTCTCCTTCCCTTCCTCTCTGCTTCCTGGCGACCTTGAGGGCAGAGCTTCCCTCTGCCGCCCCTCCGCCATGTTGTCTCTCCCTCCCCGCAGGCCTGAGGCAGTGGAGCCAGCAGCCGTGGACTGGGACCTCCGAAACCATGAGCTAGGACAAACCTTTCCTCCTCTAAGCTCTCCTCCTCGGGAATCTGGTCCCAACGACGGAAAGTGAGCAACAAACACACCAGGGTCCTTCCTAACACACCGCGCAACGCCTGGTTCCATGGTGGTCTGCAGCTTTCATTATCTCCGAGCTACCCCTCAACTCTGGAAAATGTGGGGTGATTCTTGCTCACAGAGATACAAGGGCGCTCTGTACAGTGGAGCGCGATGGGTTATTACCCTGTGGGTGTCGACAAATCTATGAGTTAGTTTATTTCTGAATTCCCAACTGCCTGTAGGTGTGTATTGTTGAATTTATTTCAACTGGTTATAAAATCTTACTGGTCTCCTTTTTAGTTAACAAGTTAAATAATTCTTGTCATGAGTTCATTTTAGGTTTGTATGAGAATCAGAGTTTGCCTTTTTAAGAAATACAGGGACTTTAAAAAAATACTTATGCTTGCTGGGCGTGGTGGAGCACGCCTGTAATCCCAGCACTTGGGAGGCTGAGGCAGGAGGGTCATTGCATGGTCAAGGCCAGCCTGGGCTATATAATGAGAAAAAAACAAAAAGACTATTTATGCTCACACCCTACCCCAGACCAATTAAACCCAAAACTTAGTAGGTAAGGCCCGAACAGCTACACTTCTTTAACATTCCCTAGGTGGTTTTAATGAGCGGATGGACTTTAGAACCAGTGAATGAGAATACAGCAGGAGGAAGGAAGAAAACAAACATTTACTGAGCCCCTACCGACTGCTCCACAGATCAGATGAATCGCTAAGTTATCTCACTCAATTCACCCGCAGATCCTGAGGGTGATGCCCATTTCACAAGTGAGGAGGCAGAGAGTCAGCAAGGGTAAAGAACTGGCCCAAGGTCGCCCAGCTGAGCACCCCAAAGCCCAGTCTGTTCTGACTTCGTCCGACTGCAGGGTGTCATCAAACGTGAGAACCAAAGACGAGGTCTGCCTCACCAGCATGCCGAGAAGGGGAATTCTCTGGGGTCCCATCTGCCTGGGAAGAAGACGGGGTTCCCCTGGAAACGAGCGCCCCGCCCCCCTGCGTCTCCTGCCCAGTGAGCCAGGCTGGGCAGAGACGGCAGCGGTAATTAACACACGCACATCAACAACTGCAAAGACCGCAGCCAGGACTTCAGAGATGCTTTCCGGCCTTCATTACTGTGCTAATAACAAAGAGGAAAGATGCTCGAATGTGGATTTTAAATCTCAGAAGCTGCGAGGTGCCTGTCAAGCCTTACTTAGGCACCTATGAATGACGGCAGCAATGCATATGAACGGATGCTACGGGGAAAAAAATCACTTTAGCTACCACACTGCGCTCTCCATAGAATTAGTTTCGGGCCGGAAGGGACTTGGTGAGGTGAAGGGTCAGCACCGGAGCTGCCTTGTAACTGCTGGGCTCCCGGAAGCGCCTGTCCCTCCCTCCCAGGTCCAGGCGGGCAGACACCAAACAGCAGGAGATCCCAGGAATTCTGAGTGCAGAGCTGATGCAGGGTGAAGGGGACCCCCCAACCTGAGGGCTGGGACAACCTGCTGTGGGGGACACCAAAGGAAAGGAAGCCTCGCAACGAGGCCACTTCCCCTCTGAAGGGCTGGCAGCTTCTCCCTGGCAACAAAACCCAGAGGAAAAGCTGACACGCCACAGAAGACGCTCCCGCGGGCCCTGAAACCTCTGTGACTAAGCCCCAGGAATATCAATTAAGCAGCATTAATTACACATCATCAGCTCCAGGGAGCCCCTCAGAGGGGAGGCAGGCTGGAGACTTCACTGGGGACTGAATTAAGTAGCAACCAGGGACACTGCTCAACCTGAGTTGGCATTTACAGGGCCAGGTGGGCAGCGGGACAGCAGGGCTGGGATGGGAAACCCGGCCGGGCAGGGCGGGCAAGGTCCCCTGGCTCAATCCCCCCTCGAGGCCCGGAGGCACAGCTTCTGGGAGGCATCAGCTTCCTGACCCCAGCGGGGTTGTGGGCCGGCACCCGCCCACCCCACCTCTGCTGCTCCACGCCGGCCCAGCTGCACGAGTCCCTGGGAGCGGCACAGTCCCTCCCGGTGGAGGTGGACTTCCCTAGTCTCACTCTGCCCTGCAAAGAAATCCCTGCCTTAAAGTCTCCCAGACAGTCCTGCGGGGACCCCACACCTCCACCCGCAGACTACTCCAGCGCCCCTGCGGCTCAGGCTCAGAACAGCTTCCAGCTGCACGAGTCCCTGGGAGCGGCACAGTCCCTCCCGGTGGAGGTGGACTTCCCTAGTCTCACTCTGCCCTGCAAAGAAATCCCTGCCTTAAAGTCTCCCAGTTAAACATCTGAGCAGAATCCTCTCTCCGGTGGGACTCCGACTGACACATTTTCTTTCTCACAAACATCCACACACAGACAATTCCCAACTCGCCTGACTGCAAACCAAGAACAGTGCCTCGCCTGCCCCGCCCCATTCTGCGTGTGTGACATTTACGTCACCAGGAAAGTGTGACTCCCACTTTCCATGACAGCCCTCTGGGGTGCAGGGTCAGAGCGCTGCTGTGCCCCAGGGCCTGTCTCTGAGGGTCTCGGTGGGTGGGGACAGTGGGGACGTCCCCAGCCATCTACACTTGGGGCATCTGGAAGAGGTGGGGGAGGACTGGGGCCAGATGTGCGTGGGGGTGCGAGGCCCCTCTTCTGGGCTTCGGCGGAGGTTGTGACACCCCGAGGCTGAATGCAGGCGCGTGCTCAAATATTCCGGGGAGAGTAGGGCTCTGAGTAGCTTTTCAGAGCAGCAATCTTCAGAGAGCTCTGAGAATCGCGTCTTAGCTTCTAAGGCAGCTCCCGGGGTCTCTGGGCCGGGCTCCCCTGGGTTCAAATCCTGACTCTGCTCTCACTGCTTCTGTGACCTTGGCTAAATGCCTTCACCTCTCTGTGCCTCCGTTTCCTCTTCTAGGAGTGGCAATAGCAAAGTATCCGTACTTTGTACTATCGGGTTGTGGAAAGGTTAAACGATCCCATCCGTACAATACACTTAGCAGAGAGCCTGGGACTAAACAACCTCGATACATTAGTGGACCACACTCTGGTTCATTGCTCTGTTTTTCTTTTCCACTTGGTGGGCGGTAATGTGGACAGCACCCAGGGCCTTCACACTGGGCCACCCAGAAGTGGGTGTCTCCCGTCCTTGAACTCAGCCTTGTCCCTGGGAAGTCTGCTCAGCCCCTGCTCTTCCCTCCTCACTCTCCACGCCTGAGAGCTCTGTCCTCCATCTCAACAGGCCCCCCTGTGCTGGGTCCCCCGAAGTCTCAGCCCCAAGCAGTTTCTCTCCAAAGAGCTTCTGTGCACAGGGTGAGGCTGGCGGAGCGACTGCAGGGATGGCCCTGGGTTCCCACAAGCAGAGCCCAGGAGGCCTGGCCAGGGTCCTGACCTTTACTCCTGCCTGAGGCGCGCAGGTAGCTCCTCGGTGG